TCTGTAATGAAAACGACCTTATTTGATGTTTCTAATGGCAGGAAATAATTTCACAATTGAATGTCATTTTGCTGCAGGTAAAAAATGTAATAACTTTTGGGAGTGCCGGTTACAACCTGAAAAATGTTTCTTGGCATTAGTGTGCCTAATTGAACTCTCTCCAACCTGGTGAAATAAAAGCTTAGTTCTGTGTTCCACGCAGGCTACACTAGGTCCAGGAAAGGGAAACGCGGATAACGAAGGTGATTTCAAGTCACCCCTAACATCTCCTGTTGTGAGCCTGGCCAATTTCCAGCTGCCTGGACATCCTGAAAGCTGTCTGAACTTACATTCTACCACTTCTGGTTTGGGGTTTCTTCCACCACCAAGAACAACATCTAAAATTTGGAGTAACTACCTGAGCTGCCCTGGTCAACTGAAAAGAAGCATGACTAGTGCAAGAGCAAACTAGCACAGCTTTTGACTCAAGTCCCAGATGGGGGGACAGAAGAGGAGCACATTCAAAAGTGAGATATTACAAACTATGTACATTTCTACATTCCCTTCAGAGAACGACTGGTTCAAGGGACCAGGAAGAATTCTCAGATGATTGTAGCCGCCCCAAACAAGCCACTGCTTCAGGTAATGCTAATTCCACTTCACACCACAAAGGGCTGTACGGTATATTAAACTCATCAATCCCCAAATAAAATGTTTTTTCTTAAAATAAATTACTGCATTGACTTGTACTGAAGAAGTCCCTCTCTCCCTCTCCCCTCCCAACTCTGCTGGTCTAAGGATTCTCCATTAACCCACCACCCTTGCACCTCACATTACTCTTAGTTTACATTTGAAAGGAAAATGTCAGGTAACCTCCACTGTTTATAGCAGGGGTGGCATAGGCACAATGGAGCCAGCATTAGCCGTGGTGTGGTCTGCCAGGATGCCTCAATGCCCTGCAGGTAACAGCTTCTGGCTCTTACAGGAAAAACCCCCTGCCCCACTGCAAAAGACCATTGGAAGCATAAGAGGATCAAAACCAGGCATAAATGTCACATTTCAACTGTTTTTTATGATTTTTTTTGGTGAAAGCAGCAAAGGTGGTCAGCCATAATCTTTGTTAGGAGACTGAACTCCGAATTATTTAAAAAGAGTGCTAGTATACAGGCCAGATACCTTTCAATATCAAGAGTGCAGCCATAATATATCAGGTATTGCTTTGTGGGATGAGCTTTCAATATGTTCTACATGTTGAATCATATATTCACATACTGAAAAGTACAGAACATTTAATAAGTAGCCCAGGTGGCTACTGTAGATTTTGATTAAAAACAAGATTGCCAATATCAAAACTCACTTGTCAAAATGGAAGCCTCTTTGGGTGCTTCCTTTCTATCACTTCAGCTGCTCACCATTACTGAAGCAGAAAAATATCATATGCAGGATATGTATTTATATAAGCTCACTGACTCTTTTTTTCCATCTATACTCTACGGTATAGATGGTCTATATTTGGAGATATTCCAGACCAAAAGGAATGAATTTGATCTGATAAGCTGAACCAAAATATTTCTGTATATGCCTAGTCCAAGATTGTTATACATAAATCAAATCCCCTTAAAGTGGCAAACAAGCAACCCAAATTTTATCACCAAATATAATCTGGCATACCCAGTTAGACATTTTGTCTGGTAGTCCCATGTTAGGTGGCTATACCTCACACTTTGTAAGTACTTTCAGGTAAAACTGGAGGTATTAAATAGATACAAGACACCATGAAGTTACACTTTTTTTCATGGAATGACGATTTGCGAATTTAATTTTTAATGTGATTACAATATTTAATTATTTTTAAAGTTACTATGGGGATAGAGAAAGGTTGGTATACTTAGAGTAGCAGGCAAGGAAAGCAGTCAATGACATCTTACCTCTCTCTGGCTTTCATATCGTTCACAGGTGCAATGATTGAAAAAACACTAAAAATAGTTTAAATCACACTACATGAAGGGATCTGAACTGAATCAGTGAGACAGCAAATTATAAAGAGGTACAGCAGCAATCTATCTAAAAAGAGAGTGTCCTTACTCATGGTATGATTTGATATTCTGGTTTTCATTCTCCCTTATTCCACAGCTAAGGCCAGACATCTGAATGAAGCAGCACCAAGCACAAAGGCATTGCATATGTGGAGTGTCTTGCCTTTTCAGTGCAGATCTTGGTGAACAGCACGTACCTGGGACACTAGTAGCAATTCCTGGTGGTTTCCAGGCAGTCACTGTAGTGGCCAAACTGCCCTTTGAGACTGTGCAGGGCAGCCCAAATGTTGTCCTTCCATAACTAATAGGTGAGCATGAGAAGGAGTTTTTTTTACCAGGACAGGATGAGTTGATTAGATTGTTGCTGGGGAGGATAAGCTGACATTTTGTTGTGGCTTTAAGTCACACTTACTGTGGCCTATGGGCAGGCTGCTGCCACCCAAAGCAGTCCTGCTGCACTCTTTGACCTGCAGCAACAGGCTTTTTGCCCCTCTCATGGGCTGGACCCAGCTATTGGACCCAGGGGATTTCATCCCATGAGTGAAAAACTGTGGGGTTTGCTATTTTTGGCCGGATAATTTTCCATTAGCCTGTTCTGCTTCTCCATAATCAATCAATATGACTCAAAGGAAGCAGCAAGAACATGTGTCTAAGGACAAGATGTATTGAGGCCTCCCTTTCCATGGGAACTGAAGCTACATCAGATTAAATGCAACGTGAAACCAATGTCTGCGCTGGTGGTGGTAAGGCTGCCTCCATGAAATGCATATAGCATAGACCTAAATGGACTTCCCCCTTGACTCACAGCCTCATGCTACTGTGCTGTGCCTGAGGCATGCTGGGGCTCTCTGCATAGTTTGGACAGAGGGTCTTTTCCCACACAAGTCCCACAAGACATGCTCCCTGCAGTGTGAACCATGAGACAAACCTAAATATCTATTTAGACACAGAAAAGGGATTTCCTCTGGTTACAATTTCTGATTACCACCCTTAGAGGGAACTGGTGGTGTTTAATTTTTTGGAATTTGTAGGTTATTTTTTTTTCTATTACACACTGTTACCATGACTGCTACGTCTGTGAATAATTCTTTCTTGGTCTATAGTTCTTGTGGTCAGCCACAGAACGATTTTGATAGCCTGCTGGATGCCAGAGAGAAATGTATCTGGATTTGGCTAGCTAAAGACATCTTCAACATCAACTTTAACTATCAGTGCTGATGTACATGGTGGCTTCTACAATTACTTCTGATTATCTGTCAGAGGACTGGCGTGCATGTGTGTCCAGAAGGGGGGATGGAAGAGAGATGTGTAAAGACTACACCATTTATGCCTTGTCAGTGAGAATGAGAACTGCTGAACAAACTATAAGCTCTGTCTCAATAGCAAAGCTCTCCACACAGTTCCTCTGTTCCTCCAGGAGAAACCTGAAGCAGACATGGCTGAGGAGCTTCACCCTTCATCCCTGAGCCACAGTTCCATCCCTCCAGCAGAGCCCAGCCAAAGACAGCATTCACAGAATCACAGAACTGTTAAGAGTGGGAAGGGACGACTAGAGATAATCTAGTCCAACTTTCCCGCTGAAGTAGGTGCTGTCAGAGAAGTGGTTGCTGGATTTTGGAGAGGTGATGCAGAAAAACTGCCCACTTCTTGTGCTTTTCTAGAAAGACAGCTATAGACCAGGTTTAGATTTTACTGGTATTCTCTTCCTTCCATGGATAAGTCCCTGTTTCTCTCAAAACCAAAATTTGCCTTTCTTTTTTTAGTTTGTGTACATTTTCTTGTTTGGTTTAGTTAAAATTTTGCTCCTTACAGCATAGGTAATGTTGTAAAAATGCACACTGTATGAATAAAACCTTGTCACAAAAGATGTGTTGTGCAGAACTTCAGTGAACTGAACTCCTAATTAAGAAAAACTCCTTAGACCTGTCTATCATGTAACTAATCATAACATCTGTTAAGAAAAATAATTTTCCTTGAGTTGAAAAGCAGAAGGCTGCTACTCAAGCTCCAAAACATTAATTTGTAATCCTACATCATGCAGTTTGAAATAGAAGGACTAAATGCCCCTTTTTTTAAAAGCAGTGCAATGAACTGTATTTAAATTCTCCTTGAAAGACAATAAAATTTAGATGTACCTTGGAACTAGTTAGTTTCAACGCAGCCATTTCAAAGGCATTTCTTCTTCAAACAGCATGGTATATGAAGTTATGTAGCTATTGGAAGGGAACACACGTACTGCATGATGGTGAGGGTCTAGAATACTACTGGGATACTTAGCAGCAAGTGCAAAATCACAGTTCAGTGAGGTCACATAATCAAATTCCAGCTTATCCCTTTGATTACATTTCACTAATAAATCTTTGGAAACTGGAGTCTGACAAGTTCATCACAGCATATTAACTTTTCAGTGGTGCATATAGAATATATATATATATATCTAAAGAATCTTACAAAAGCCAAAAAGAGCAGCAGCAAGTCCAAAACAAGAGTGGAAGAAAAAGTAATCTTAATGTCAGACGCCACCAGACTGAAACGTTACATGGACAGACGTGCCTTATTTTTTAATTCAAACCTTCTCAACTGAAGTAAAATAATTTATCGTTTAGATCCAGTGAAATACTTTGCACATCAGGCGTTTCACTGCATTACAGATGGGACAATGTTAAATAAGTTTTCACTCTGGTTCCAGTGGCATGGGCATAAGTCAAGACCACATGGTTAAGATTACAGCAACACAGCTATTGGTCATGCAGCTAGCTCCATGGTAACTCACAGCGTTTAATGCTTAGATTACATGGTTTCACTATGGCAAACAAAATTAAAGAGCCTTTTACCATACAGAGACAATCCAAGCAAAAGTCTGCACCATTCCACCAGGCTGTTAATGGAACGTTTTTCCACCAGGATTCAAAAGGAGGAGGGGGTTAAGGGAACTCACTGATAAGTAATATGGTTGAACGCAAACCTATGCTGTGGAAGACTTACCATCATCTAGGTACATCTGGTCCAATTCCTCAGGTTCTCGCTTGATCGTTACAGGAATAGGGGCCAAATTATGATTACTTTCCTCATGTAACTCTGGCAATGACAGTGGTTGGGTTGTTGGAGACTCATTTCTGTGAACCTTCGGCAGTTGCTGCTGCTGTTGACCCATTATGGATGAGTGAGTTGGACTGCAGGACTGCAAATAGGTTGGCTCTTGGGTAACAGATGGAACTGGAGAAGAGGGACTGTTGGGATAGACTGTTTGTTGATAACCAAGGGGACAGCTACTGCTCAGATGTTGACTCACCTGCGGCTGCAGCATGATGTGAGATGATTGCTCGGGGGAGCTTGGGTGCACAACTATAGATCTTGGCACTTCCTGTATGGTGGGGACACCTCCAGTGGGCTGCTGAAGTCCGAAGTGACTGTGGCCCGGGTTGGGGATGCACTTGTAATGAGAGGACGAAAGGTCATGCAGCTTGGGGCTTGCATTGGGAGAGGGTGACATCACGGCGTTTCTCTGCTGACAGGAGGCAAAGCCAGCCACAAGGCAGGAACCAGGATCAGGGGGCATCATGATCTGCTGGCTGTAGCATGGTTTAGAGAGAGGGCTTAAGCCTTGGTTCATTGGTCCACAGGTTTGAGTAGGCTCATAGTCATCTGTGGGTTCTGTTTTTATAATTGGAACTGTTAAGAGAAAAAAGTTTTAAATAAACATGAGTTGCGTATTGGTATGATCAAGTTGGCTTGTGGCTAGGATACCCTTTGCAAAACAAACAACGTCTTGAATAAGACTCTGTGTCTTTTGCCTAGTTCACCCACCCTATAAAAAAAAAAAAAAGAATGAGTCATCAGCACAAAAAAGTCACAGCTGGTTCTAATATTGAAAAGGACTATTTTCTTTGGACTCTCCTCCAGCACTAATGTGCTATAAAAATCTATTTGCAAATAGCTGTGCTTCAGTGGAAGCTTTGGACCCAAGGGCTCCATGGATTTGTAGTAATCAAAGGAAGAATTTTAACTTGGATATACTACCGCATTTCTACGGCTACTGATGGTCCATTTGATAAATGTCTGCACGTTTGGTAAACTGGAGCATTGTAAGGTAGAGATGGGGCTTTCAGAGTTCGGTGGAAGTAAAACTGCAAAGACACGTGACAAATCACTATGCACAAGAAGTTTTCAACTATGAGGGTGTTTTTGAAAATATAGGATTTGATTTATTTAGTTTCTACATGATTGTGTTTAATCTTACTCACCAGCCAATGGGTGTAAAATGTAAGTTCCATCCAGCTCTCAGTGATTCTAAGTCGGATCCAAACAGCTAGTGCCAAGTCCTAACAAAAGTTAACTCAGTCTCTGGCTACCAAGAAAAACTTACTCCTACTCTAGAATAACTCATCTGCTTGCTCTACCCGTTGTCCCAAGAGAGGCTCTAATTGAGCTGTCAAGCCATGTCTCTAAATACCACCAGCACATGGACAGAATGACTGTCTATGAGCATCAACTCAGTCATGATCTCCTCTCTCCAGAGGAGGGTCACAAAGATAATCAGATGGCTGGAGCACCTCTGCTATGAAGACAGGCTAAGAGAGTTGGGGCTGCTCAGCCTGGAGAAGAGAAGGTTCTGGGGAGACTTTATTGCGGCCTTCCAGTACCTGAAGGGCCTACAGAAAAGCTGGGGAGGGACCTTTTACAGGGGCTTGTAATGACAGGACATGGGGTAATGGATTAAAAAAGGAAGAGGGTCAATTTAGGTTAGACATTAGGAAGAAATTCTTTTAGTGTGAAGGTGGTGAGATACTGGAACAGGATTCCCAGAGAACCTGTGGCTGCTTCCTCCCTGGAAGTGTTCAAGGCCAGGTTGGATAAGACTCTCAGCAACCTGACCTAGTGGGAGGTGTTGGAACATGACTTTAAGGTCCCTTCCAACTCAAACCATTCTATGATTCTACGATTATTATGACAAATGTCGAGCTGCTGTCTCAAATCAGAGAAGTGCCTTTGCTGTTTCTCGTACAACATATGCAACGCACAAGTAAAAGACACCCACTTTCTCTATCAGGAACATTATAAATAATAGGACCAAGCTAGTCAGCAGATAGATTTCTTTGAATCAGATGCAACTCCAATGCATAGAACAGTTGAGTATGGATGCACAGTGGCATTTATCTTCTTCCCCAAAAAGAGGGCCACAGGAACAGCTGTCACTTAAAGGTGCTGTTGGAAATTTACAGTGACACCAGATAATAACTTTCAAAATATTAGAATAACTGACCGGTTTTATCACAAAGTTATTAATAAAACACAGCTTAGCTCAGAGCACGGGTGCTGTGTGTCTCTGCCTGTATTTTTACTTGCACGTGTTTTATAAACACCCTTATACATTGTACAGCCATCTACTATGTTTGTGCATGAGTCTTCTGAACCCCTAAAAAGGCACGTGTGTGCATGTGTACATATAAAACCTCTTTTAATACTCACGAATATTGCTGCTGGTGAATGTGCTTCACTACCCTTGTTTTATAGTCCCCTAGCCTCTTGTTAACTTTGCTCCTTTTATGTTCTTTTACATATAGATGCTAGCAACACTTGTTTCAAGATTTCTAGCACCCCTAGTAAAAACATGTCTATGTATGTAACAGCTGCACAGGTGCTGCTCAAACCAAATGTGCTAAGGATAATGGACTGTCATTGGATTCCTCATAATCTTATTTTCACCTGCTCATGCACTGCACATTGGCTAGCAGGGCTGCTAATGCACTTGGTCACAGAGAAGCAGATTCCAGGTTCAGGGACAGCTTTATAAAACCAGTATCACACCCTTTATGAAAATGCAAGACCAAAGAAGCACACCTAGATAAACACAGCAGCTCAGATGTTGTAAGGAAATACCGTTAACAAGTTCCTGAGCTAGCAAATATATTCACATGTTTTATATTAGATTCACTGTACTAGCACTAACCACAGCACAGCTGGAAATATGATGGTTGTTGAACATTGAATTTTCCCAATATATCACTGTTACAGAAACACCTGTGCTAAATAATTCCAAGCTCAACCACTCATTCAACGCCAATAAACTCTGGAGTTGTCTAACTTGTTATAACCTAGGTAAGGGTTATAGTCCGGGTGGCAGGCAGACTGGAGACTTTAAAGAAGGCAGGTTCTTGATCTCAGGGTGATTTTTCATTGCAGCTCTTCCACAGCATATCTTTGTTACTTGGTTTACCAGGCACCTTTTTGTCACTTGACTTTTTTCTTTATAAAAGCAATGCCATGGGATCTACCTGGAGGTCTGATTAGTGGCCATGAGCACTGGGAATCTGTCTTCAGACAGATACACTGAAACACACCTGTCACAACCAACAGAAGATAACCAGTAAGTCCTACTCTGCACTGGGTGAAGGACTGATAGGCAGAAGGGACTACATTCCAGACCTATTAGTTCAAAAACTCTCCTGGAGATGGTGACAGCAACCAACAACACTCCTGGCTGCCCATAAATTCAGAAGGAAAATAGACTGGTGTTAATTACAGGACCAGTCAGGGTAAGTCACAGTAGTTTGTTTGCTGATGGCAAGTGGCTGGTAGCCAGAGAGAGAAACAAGAAGGAGAGATACGAGATTCAGTGAGTTCTCCATTTTATCTGACATGTATTTACATTGTCCCCATGTACTGCTCTGAACGGATAACACACCTAAGCATCACTTACTTCATGAAAAGAGAAACAAGTTCTCTTTAAATGGACAGATACTACATGCACTTAGGCTTAGAGGTGTCTGAACTTGTTCAACTGAACTGCCTCCATTACCTTTTAAAATGTGTTTTTTCAACACAGTAAAAAAGTCTCCTCTTACTCAGGATCATATATTTTGTTTGTATGCAAATCAATCTCACCACTAGAATAGGTATCACTCTGAAAGACAGAAAAAATATTAATGCTGAAATGGTGAGGGGATTTGTATCTGACTTGTCAGTGCTTTGCCATTTGTATAGCCATTTCACTCTGTGCAGACTGAACATATGGATCTCACCAAGCTCAGCTGCCAGCAAGTCATTACCCTTCAAACAAGTGTGTCTTCACAGGGTACCAGTTTGGAGAAGGAAGGTCTCTGTAGGATTTTCTTTTTTCCTGGAGAAACCACTACTAGTGACCCAGAGGATCTGGAATCAAATCTGCAAAGCTGAGCATGTCAGCAGAAATGCAGGACATTAACACTCTCCTTTCTGACTAGGTCTGAACTTCTGTATTTTACATGAATAACTGTATTACTTGACCTAAGGAGAACAGATACCAGAAATTGCTACATTACACCAGTTAACAGTTTATTTATGACACTCTGTCCTGTATCTTCTTCTCCCCAGCCTATGTAACTTCACCAAACAGAGTCACAAAGGTAAAAAAACCTTTGGCCATATTTGTATTTCCAAATTCAACTCAAAAGATCAGTGGGTCTGACCTCCTGATCATTCTGAAAATACTCTAAATGCATCAAAGTTGGTATAAATCACCTTTTATTCTTTCTTTAAAAGGGAAACTGTTTATTTCTACTTTGCAAAGGACTGCAGAGGGCCCAAGGAAGGAGCTGTGGGTACTTCAAGGCACATCTTCCAAAACCAATGCGGCAACAGCCTGTACCTGTACTCACTGGCCACCCACTTTCCACCACAAGTGTCCATGGTGTTACTCAAACGAGTTAAGTTACCTACATGGAATCAGGCTACCAGTTCCTAACACAACCTACCCACCGCCTCACTGACTTTTGAAGGACTGAGACCCTTAGCTGGGACCAGTAGCTAGAGGACAAAAACCTGAAGTTCCCACCTTCACTATTTTTTTCTAGGCAGGAACCCAGTGGATTCCTTCAGGGTAGCCAGGGCTGATCGCTGGCCAGACACGGACTGCTTACCTATTGACTCATGTACCATTAACTGCAAATCCTTACAGACCTGAGCTAGAAAAAAGGGTTTCATTCTCAAATACATCCCTGTGGAGGCATGATAATCTAGCTGCCATAATACTTCACCATTTCTGCCATCACTCACTTCCACAAGTGGATATGTCACAGAGGGTGATGTGACTTGACACAAAGAGTGCAGTTTATTTTCTCAGGATTACTGTTTAACAGAGAATAGTATCAGCTTGACTAACTTCTAGCTCAAATATTTCAAATCTTAAGTGACTCAGTAAAATCCTGCCAGCTAAAAGAGACACTCGTGGTCACACAGGAGGCTTGGACTGGCAGTTAACTGGAAAGCCCTATAGCTGTTCAGAGTCTGCAAGTACTTCTAGCAGAAACCGGACTATTTCTTAAATGCAGCAGACACACATTGAATGGCAACAAGGATTCTGTCACAAAGCTGCTCTGTGGTGCTGAGATAACATCTAGTCTTGCAGACTCTCAGCTTGGCTAGAACGAAAAATTGTGACTGAATTTGCCATACACTAAGATGTGCCAATAATAAATTATGGCAATGAAGCCAGAATTGGTGAAACTGTGAACAGAAAAGATGATGTAGTTCTTACATGTGCTCAGACTCATGTTACTCATTTAAGAGACCCTACTCTGCTGATGGATCAAGCCCTTGCCATAAAAAGGGAAGAATGAATGTGAGTTCAGCTTGCATCGTGAATTTTTAACTCCTTATTTTACAATGTATTAGGTTGGCCAACAGACGATTTT